AAACTAGACGCATAGCTGCGTGAACTCGGGGTTCTGCTTGAATATATCATAAAACGATGAAGTGACAACAATGAGTGTTGTAGTCGAAGAATTGAGAAGAATTGGACTATATTGAACCTTAATAAAGTTAATAGTCATACTATCAAAAGGCGTAAAGCAAAAAATACTTCCTGGAATAAAAAATAATAAAAAAACAGTGTACTCAGCATAAATATCATGAAAAAATTGATCATCAGCAAGCCGGTCTTTGATAGTCACATGACAGGCTGTAAACACAGAAGTCTTTTATCTTCTCCGCTCTTCCATTCGTCAGCTTTTCCTCAGAAGAACTCTGTTCGCATTCCTTAGACGAGACCTTAGTAGTTTCAGAGCCTGCATAAGTTCGTATATAGTTCGCTTGTGCTAAGATAGGTAGCTTGTTTGATAGACAATTCTCGATAGACTCGATCTCGATAGACAGTATAAGATAAATTCTCGATAAATTTACGTTATCTTCTGAAATTCCTTTTTCGGAAAAACGCTGGTCATATTTCAGGATATTTTAGTGTGGCTATCCAACGAAAGTGTGGATATTTTTTTAAAGTGATTTGGGCGTATTTGTAGACGTTGAATTTCTGTCTTCTTCCACCTCTCGTATTACAGTCTCGCCAACTATTCTCGGTTTGAGTTATTAACGTTCAAAAATATGTCACGCAATACTGTCAAGCTACTTGAAACACGCCCAATTAACCTCGGAAAGCCTATAAATCTTAAAACAACTATAGTCTCAGCATTAAATTAAATTTTTAGAATGATATTGTTAGAAAACTGAAGCAAAATCATTAGTTTTGAGCTCATTTCCACACTCGGAGTTACTGTCTGCGTGGTTGTGTACTGGATAGTACATCATCAGGGCTTTCCCAATACACGCTTATATTTTTGCTAAAAAATAGCAGTTTGACTTCAAACTTTGCATAACTGTTGGGAATTATATGCTGTTTTTGGTCATGAATATAAAAAATTCATTTAGATATTAAAACACAGCCTTTTGAAGGTATTTCTTGACCTGTCTAAAACGCATTGAGCCGTGATAATCCATANTTAAAGTTAAAAGTATTAAAATATACTTCAAGACTGCAGGCAAAGTAATAATAGTCCATAATGACTTATAAGTTGACACAATTCCTTGAGCTTCGTGCTCTCCACCATGAACCTCCTCCTCAGATCTCTCATGCTTAAAAAGTCCAATAACTGTTGTAGTTATAAGAAAAACACATCCCCAGAAGAACAAAAATCCAGCCAAATCTATAAGCCCAGTGTCTAGTGGCTGTGTTCGCACATATTTGTTTGCAAAATCTGGTGAACTTAATGCAAGGAAAACAACATTTCCAAGGAAGTATCCAGCTGTTTGTCCTATAGTATTGCATGTCGATGCCCAACCAACATTAGCTTTAGAGAGCATAGTCAAAGCCCAGCCATCAACAGCTATGTCCTGAGTGGCAGTGAGAAAGTTCAGACAGAAAAATATTGAAGTAAGAGTGAATACATTTGGTGTGGAGTTGTCATCTTCTCCTAGTAGATAGTTGATGTACTGAAACACAATTTAATTTACAATTTAATTAATGCAACACTGTGTTAATTAGTAATATCAGGTTCTAGAGTTCCAAGAGGCATCCTGAAACATGGCCAATCACTTGCATCATGTGCAATCATTCAATTCAACGGATTACATATATTAAAAATAAAAAAGTAATAAAAACAGGGCTTAGTTAAACTAATGACCTGTTTGTAAACATCGATAACTGATAAAAAACAATGTACAATAATGAGATACAGTTATCATTATAATTGCATATTCTTGGCCACTTAAATTAAACTAAGTTGACAGCTGGACTTTACGTTTAACTTCTTATAATGAAATGTCAAATAAATGCAAATTCCATGCACCAATGTGCAGGGAGGGGGACACTGGCTATGCAGAAACCTTAACAGCTGAAATCTGTGTAAACATACTTGATATTCAATTGAATATCTCGTGMAGGAGTTTTATGTGACTACGGATTTATTATAGATTGATCAATAAAATACCATTTCCATCGATTGGCATTGAAAAGATAATGTACAATGACCGATGATCTGTCACAATTCAACTATACCTTGGATAAAACGAGCATGAATATACCAATCAAATACTGCACAGGAACCAACCAAGTCTTTCTCCKTCCAATTCTTGCAAAATATGCTGCGTCAACGATGGGAGCCCATAGGAGTTTCACACTATACGGCCAGTACACAAAACTAAACATAGCTTGCTGTTTGTAGCCAACTTTCTTCGCCAAAAGAAGCGGTATCGAGCCAGCTAAACCTAACGGAATACCTTGYAAGACGTACAGRAACAACAATATGGCAATACTATTACGATCACCACTTGGGATTTTAATTTCCATGGCTTGATGTTCAGTTGTATGTCCATTGATTTCGATTTCTTGACGGTTCAAGACACCATTTCTTTCTTGTAGATCTGCCCTTTTTGACCTTCGATACTTTGACATAACGACAAAGTACGTTRRATTGTGTTTTGAATTATCAGTTGTTGAATTTTTGTGTTCACAGAAGCTTCAGATAGTCGATAAAATCGATGAAGTTGTAGAAATTCTGAAAGCTAATCAAACCGTTGCTATACGTGTCTTGTTATTACCGGCTAGACACTGAGGCATTATGGGCGAAGATCAAATCCACAGGAAGCCCACATAAGCACAGGAATCCCAAGGTTTCAGATCAGTGCAAGATTTGCGCTTTTCAAATCCGTACTTTTATATCCCTAATGAAGCATTTGCGGTTTCAAAAATATCAGCATAACTTTATAAACTTTTCTTAGTCTTTTTTCTACATAAAAAACACAGTTCTTGCAACATTTTAATGTTATTTTTATGTTTAMAAACACTATCTGTTGACCTGGTCAATTTATTTACCAATGTAAAAAGTTGAACGCTTCTTACATAGGTTTTCAATTAATTTATCATTTCTGCAAAGGTTTTCTATTGGTCTTTTACTGTTTTTAAAGAAATTTGATCGAAACGTTTGGTAGTTGCCTGAAAATGAGGAGGTTGTCTTTTTCGGATTATAATCACGTGACCTCATCTTCCTTAAATAGGGAATCATCACCAAAACGACCTCGGATAGAGACATGAAGACAGTCTTTCAATAGGATAACGTTTCAGGTCTTGTTGATCTAATTTAATGTGAAAAGATCGATTTTGAACATTTTATTTAATCGTTCGGAGCGCGTTGGTTAGTGCTTACTTGTGTAATCACCCGCCACGCCATATATTTGTTYATCCGTTCAAACTACACAGTGTTGCACTTCATACTATGTACTCTAACAGTCGAACCTCTCCTCAGCGCGGTCACCCWCCATTAAGCGTTTTAAAATACTTATGTATTTTTAGTATAAAACATGACCAGCATCTCTTAACTGAGAGCGGTCACCCTGGTGGTCTTACCCCAAGATRACGGCTCGAACTGTAGTTGATCTTATCATAGAATTCCTAAATTACATCAATTTACGTCTAGTTATGAATCTGTACGGTTGGTCGGACAAATTAAGTTATATAACAGGACCAACATTTACCATTCTTTCTTTGTAAAAATACATAGAACTAACTTTAACTGGACCATTCAKCTAACACTGGAGGCTATACGGGCCTCATCACACACCTGCACCGCTAGACCGCAATTAAGTTGATCTATACGATTCTGGTAAAGTTGTCAGTTCCAATCAATCGACCATTACTGAATCCATGATCGTGTTTAAAAATCTCCAACTTCATTTAGAACATGTACTAGTTGTCCCATTACATAATAATTTGTTATAACAATGAATTMAGCAAAAAATCCAAGAATCATGCGTCCGGCTACACTAATTTATTTCAAAGGCGAAGTTTTCCATTTCCATGAGAGAAAGATACGATGTRATTTAGGTTCTACTATTTTGAAATGACTATTAACAATTGATTTAATTTACTGATGTTGTTCTTGTATTTTGTTTTGTTTTTGTTAGTTGCAAACCAACAAAGACGATACCAGCCGTTGCCATGCTGTATTTTCTTTTGCAATGCAATTGTTTCGTTGCAGACCGCATGCGACACCAGCAATACAAATTCTTATTATAAACCATTTATTGATAATTTCAATAAACCTAACTTACATATAATGCTATAAAACTAGCATTCGTATAAAGATTAATTCATTTATTTACAGATTCCTAAGGAATATTTTATTTATACTTCATAAAAAAGATATTATATACAAGGATTTGAATATCAGTGTACATATATTGCACATGTCTTTAACGCTAAAAATCAGTTCTCTGGGAAAAGTTCGTTKATTTACTTACAGAACTCGTTGTTGTTGATAACAAAGTTTCGATATGAAAGCCTTTGTGCTGTTTATTGCTGTTTGGTGCAGTCTGWACAATGAGTGGCATYGAAAAGGTAGGYAATGCAAGAGAACCACTTGGGGACACATCGGSCTCCAACTTTGGCGCTATCTCAATCTCTCTCTCGGTTTTCACTTTCAAAGTATCACTCGAAGAAACTTTCTTTTTGTTTGCTCGCTTTCTTCTGTACTCTCCTCGACTAAAGTCCTCAAAATTGGCTGGGTTTATAGCCCAGAAATGTCCTTTTCCATTGGGGCTTCGACCAACTTTGATAAAGCATTCGTTTAAACTGAGATTATGGCGGATGCTGTTTCTCCAWCCAGGTCCTTTGTTGCGAAAGTACGGGTAATTTGTCAAAATGTAGTTATAGATGTCGCTGAGTACGAGTTTCTTTTGGGGTGCGCTGAGAATCGCTTTTCCAATGAGCCCAATATATGACTGACTTGGTTTTTCTTCTTCGGTGTGATGAAAGCCCAAGAGTGGAAGGCTCCCATGTGGTAGATAAGGACTTGCCATATGTGATATCATACCCTTGGCTTCTCGTAGAGGAAGCATTCCAAAATCATGACCGCAGCATCTTTGTAAATACGCAGATGGGTTCATATACGTCGCKGGRTAAGGGAGAAAGCCAGGATGACTGCTGATCTGSGGGCAGGTTGTTGAAGCCGCGGAAAAGAGCATCTTTTCTGAAACGCCGTTGATATGGAAAGGTGTAAAAGCAGAACTCTTTTCTCTGGAGCAAGGCACACTCTCAGCGATGTTCATGGTATTAGWGTTGCTGGAAAAGTCTTGATGTTTCATCGATAAGATCTACTGGTAAATGAGCTGTGGGTTTGATGACAATAGCTAATATTGGGTTGGTAAACTATGCCCTTAACTGCTGTCCTATTGAATTTAATTGTTTTGAAAAACAAAGACTATATGCCAGGGCTTTGTAATACCATTCTGAAAAGRCTCTTTTGTTTTGAACTTCTCTTCATCCGTTGGCCTCTTGAAGTTGTAGCGTCTTTTTGCTCTTTAKAAGTTGATTCTCCTGAAGTTTCGAGTTTATATGAAGCAGCTAGCTTACCATGTAATAATACATTTATCAGATTAACCAACGATAAAAATATATTGCTTATTTGTTCAGTGTAATTGATTATATATTTTGATTATTTTTCAATTAGCACCCCATGGCTTAACAGTAATTCTTTTGATTGAAAAGCATGACAGTTGCCCTGTCTTGTCATAAAAGCTCGAGTTTTATTATAAACTCAATTCTGAGTTTCCTAAGCCTCTATAAGAGGGACGGTAACTACACTATCAAAGTTGAATTTTRAAGTCGAGTGCTCTTGAGAAACCGTGCGAAAAAGGCTACTGAAAATCATTAAACACAACAAACTTCAAGTTCCTCCTAGARCTCTAAGCATCGCAGTAAGAAAACAAAGAAATTCGTTGACAATATAAACTCCGCTTGTAAAGTGTACTGTGTKTYAAACACAAGCCTGGCAAGCAAATGACTGCTTGCTGTTTATAACAAAGGCCAGTTGATTTTTTACAATTGTAGTAAATAACAGCTAATAAAGCCACCCCTTCTATTATCCTACCAGTCTTTTAGTGATTATATGAATGTTTATTGATCTTTGTTTTCCAGACGTGCTAATACCCCGTCTATGCAGTGCTAATGGTCTAAGCTGCTACGAAGGCGTGTTTCTGCCAGCCATCAACAAAGCAATTAGCTTAACGCATTGTGTTATTTTTGATAGCCTTTCAAGTTGATGAGAAATTGGTTTACAAAGTTTGCATTTCAAACAGTTTAGGTTTAGAGAAAAGTGTTTTTAAACACATGGTCGTAGCTTGTCGTTACAAGATACTTTTCTTGAGCGTTTGTCGCTGTGTTGCATCGAACTTCAGCTAAAGTTGAATTATTCAAACTACAATGCTCAAAGCAAATTTGGGATTCAACCGTTAAAAAAGGATGTCTTAGGGCAATATCTCTAAAATAGGGACTTGCTCCGTTAATGAATGCTCTAATAAACTTTACATAACACGTCTGGATAAGCAAATATACTAGCTCATTCTAATAAAGATATATTTCTAATATATTGATTCAATGCGATGTGTTTATTTATCTTAGTTCATATACTACGTGCATTAAGCTCATAAAAATTGAATTATATAAAAAAACTAATAAATTTAATAAGCGAATAGAATCAAATCCGCGATATTAAAGTCATAGATCTTAAGTGGCGAGTTTATTTACTAAAAGAAAAACCGCTGCTTGTAAGTGGTCGGAAAGTCTTTTCCGCTCATTTTCAGTCAGTCGCGGTTGTTTCTTTATACCAGTTTCGATCGCGGTAGCTTTATAGTTTTTTTCTTCAGTTGCRTATAGTACGTTTATTATTGTTATGTACGAAATTAGAATTAAGTTAATTTTTTTAGGCTTAGCTTTCAGCTAGTACAAAGTAATCACATCTAAAACGAAGTCAAAATCATGAAAAAAGAKTGAAATTMATTTTCTCTTTTATAGACTTCCAACAAACAAGWCGGCGCTCCAAAAATAATTATAAAGTTGAGCTTACGACTCCTTTGAGTGGAACGTCATAAAATGCTAAAGCAATTTCTTAGTTTTGGATGATATTTCGTAGAAGTAGAATAGTGTGTATTGTTGTTTATCTTATAAAAAAGATTTGATTAAATTCTGAACACATTCTCCACGCTACTCATAAACAGTAATATTTGCGCTTTTATATTTTTGCGAAAATACAGCGAAGATAATGCATATAGTGCCCGTTTCTACCTTTTTACGAAGTCATGAATGTATTATTATTTTAACGTAGCTGTTTATAATAGTAATAATGATAATAAAGAATAAAAAGGAACACTAGTTAACTCTAATTTTCTCTTAATTCAATTATATGCTTAAGTATTCTTTCTGTTTTACGACATTTTTGACGTTATTTTCAAGAGACTTTGCAGTTGACTGAGTCGATTACATATTATAAAATCTTAATTCACATGCTTTTCATACTTTAAACAAATCAACCATAAACTTACTTTAAATCAACTAAAAATAAATGTATAGCCACAACAAATAAATGAATTTGCTATGAATAGACAGGGCGTTCCTTGTAAATTCTTAATTGACTTGAGCTGTYTGCTCAATTTAACGCGAACTATGGAGGGATTTGGCCATTGAAATTGGTATATTATCACAAAACTTTTTGCAGTTAATAAATCAACCCATATCGAAACTAATAAWGCCTAATTTGGGCGTTTGGCAAAAGARTGCTTCCTAAAACTGATTCAAATAAGTTCAAGAAAGGTAAAAAAATCTCAAKAGAACAGAGTTATGTTGTTTAAAATTAAGGTAGTTGATTTACCACTCTTCTACGTTTCGTTCGCATTTAAGTTGTTGTGTGCGTCATACTAGACACAAAAGATTTGCGTCATAAGCTCATAAAATCAATACAACAATGAATGCAAACAGCAARAGAATAGCTTATATGCTTAAAACATATAAATCATAACCCAAATCGAGTCTTGTTACAAAAAGACAACGAGTCTCAAAAACGGAATAAACTATATAGCAAATATGCGCGACTTACAGATTAGAGCTCAAACGACAGTTAAGTGGTCCTCAAAGGAACATGATCCACCAGCATCCCTTTCGAGCTTAAGCTCATGTTTGAAAATAAAAAAAATACTTCATAATATTAGCAAAAACTTACTCTTTATTATCCCTTTATACTAAATGAATGGAGATACTGTAAGATTCGACCTTTAAAACGATAGACTGGAAACGGATTGTGAATGGATATTCGAGGTCACCTGTTTTTCTATATATGAAAAATCTAAAACACGACCGCATTGAATGCTGGTGGACCATGTCCCTTTAAGGAACAGTGGGACTTTATAATCTACTCACTAGCTCAATATATAAGATTCCATTACAGAAGAACTAAAACATGCTTTAATTTTCCGTGCTCGCACAGAGAGAGACCGACCAGACATTCTGCATCAATCTCCATTACAAATGACCAACATGCTACGAAGGCTTGAGTACTAAAGCCATGGTCATGCATTAAAAGATTTGCAGTCAAAAAAGTTCAAACTTTCCTGACTAAAGTATATAAACAACTACTCTTTTGAGTGGTCATCCCTGACACAATTCCACTCACATTACCCAATTTGATCTTACGATTTGATAGTGTGATCGGTCAATTTTCAATTGATTTGCGAAGTTAGTCGGTATCGGAGACGGAGAAGCTCGATAGGCGACTATGCGCGTGAAGCAGGCAGAACAAGAGTCTGAAAACCTTCCGTCTTATTTTCTTTTCATTCTCCATTCTCCTTCTCCGTCTCCGTCTCCGCTCGCTTACTTTCGATATGAAACTCAGCCGTACACAGTTTTTTGAGCAAAACTAACAAGTTCGGGGCAGTGCGACCACGGTGCGTTCAAAGTAAACTCATAAACATTCGCAGAAAAAGAGCATTTTTTGTCAGTAAAACCTWAAAAAGTTCTTGTTGTCTATTCAGTCAACCTTTTCGCGCTACAATACATATTATTGGTAGGATTAGTATCATAAGTTAAAGCAAATAAAGTCATTACGCAAGGTTTATAGTATATCAACTTAACGGTACAAACTACTTCCACAAATGGTAAACAATCAGTTAGTCGATCACAGCTTTCGGATAATATGTTTGTTTGTGTAAAAATTTGCATCAAAATGACAACGAAACTTCTAAATTTCTGTTAAGGCGCCGGAAATGTTCGGAAACTGCTACTTAAAATTGGGTAAAACATTTTCGTAACACTATTGATTCCAAATTAGTACTAATAGYTCAGAACTGAAGGCAGTTTTCTCAATTTTCTTAGCGCGCGCATCAGTCAACTCTCGCATTACGGACACCTTGAAATTACGGATACGAAATCTGAATCCCCGGTGAAAAATACAAAGATATGATCTGAAAGTAACTCCCGTTAGTACACGGACTCTCGCTACTGCGGACACTAGGTTTCGGTCCCGAGGGTGTCCGTAATAGCGAGTGTTGACTGTAGATTTTTAACTCTTTTACATATGATAACATAGTAATTGAGAAAAGAGGGTCCAGTTCTGGACTAAAAGCATCCACAAATATARAGTAATGATTAATTAAGGGAGCAATGATTTCTGTTTACATTCTGACTGCCCTATAACCGTGGACGATTAACGTACAGTTACAAAGTGTCGATATAAGGACGGGTAGTTTGATAGTTTCTGAATCACCCCAACCGGCTATTTTTTTGAATCAAATAATTAAAAGCTTTAATGTCCTAAAAACAGCAAATACTAAACAAACGACCTTAACTCAAGAGCGGTTGAGAGATAAACAATGAAAGGAAACATTTTAAGCGCGCGCCGCTCTCTTAAAGAGAATTTCATTCTCAGTAAATGATAGCCGGAGGCACCGATTTTTGTTGTGCGGGTACCGCGCCGCATTTATGCATAAGCGGGTCAAATCAAACTACTAGTGAATGGTCTAGTATTATCATCGGCAGGATATCGCTTTTGATCGACTAATGATTATTAAAGTCAGTTAAAGTTCTTGTACAAATATAAGGGAGAATTAAAAGCGCGGCAAAAGAAAATAACTCGACAAGAGACATCATCACTTAATGTAGACAATTTTTAGTACGCAAAGCGAAAAGTCTCTTACTTTTTCGAAACGTTGGGTTCTAATTTTAGACCAGAAGAATAATTTTTCTTTTTTTAATAGATACTCGACACTGTTAATCAGCATTTGCAAACAATTTAAGATAACGATTCGTAGCAGTCTAATTATGGTACTTCCGACTTGACTCGATACGATTGTCTCTTTGCCGTAAGCTATCTTAGAGTAGTTAGAAGATTTTGACCGAGACCTGTTTGTAGCACGAACGTTTTAATTTTTGGGGGGTATATAGTAAAATTCGGTGTGTAGCCTGCACTTGCAAGAAGCCTAAAATC